AATTAAACTTTTCCTAGATTTTTCTTTTTTTGAAAAAGGACTGATTACTTGTCACAAACTTAAATTTTCCAAACCCTATATTTTTGCAACCTGATCATGTAATCAAATTCTTAGCATGAATCAAGTAAACCTATTTTTTGGCACATTTTTCAACCTCATCCGCAATGGTTTCATGCTTAAAATATGTTCATTCGGTTCAGTTCTTCTTATGATTTAAGTTCCATTCAGACAAACAAGACAAATGTATTCATTATTCTGAACATAATATGTCTTCTAATTGAATGAAGGCAGAACTTGCAGAGCTGATGTTTGTCTAGAGAATAAATAGATAAACTCAGTAATCTTCATATATATATATGTACTTCGTGATTATGTACAGGGTAAGAAAAAAGTGTGATTATTTTCATCTTCTTAAATACTATTTTTTTCCTGTGAAATTCTCATAACTTGTATTTTTCCCGTTTGTTTTATAGAATTATTTTCACTTTTGTAACTCACATGGCTCCATAAAAATCCACGAAATTTTTTTTTCTCATCAAAATTAAGCGAGCAGAGAATAGATTAATAGATTATTTCTATCAAATTCTAAAATTTGATGAAGATCGGGTAAACCAATTCAGAGATATTTTTCTAGTATCTCGAAAACTTGAATGAAATCGATACAATTTATTGTTCAGTTTGCGTAGAACAGGCTCTGTCTGTCTTGTAATAATACCCGTCCTTCCAATATCACTTCTTATCCTTCCAGATAAAACTATTTTTTAAGAATCGGGCCACGTTAGGGCATAAATGAAATATTGAATATTTGTAAATCGAAAAAAAATGTTTTAGTTGAATTCAAGTTTTCAAGTTTATTGTTCATAGAAAAGTTCAACTTTTTACAGATATTCCTGTTTTATAATGCCTTAAATAATTCTAAGTTTATTGAACTTTTTTGTTAATTATAGTGAAAACCATAAGAATTCTCTGGATGGTTCCAAATATTTGGCTATTTATTTCATATCACGAAGATTAGCCTAACGGAGACAGAAGAGATTTAAGTTTTACTTAAATAAAGTTTGACATCATGCTTATGTGTTTAAAGACTCCAACATGATGTACTCACATTGCAGTACTTTAGTCTATCCATATTTTATGCCCTAGCGTGGCCAGATTTATAAAAATAGTTTTAACTTAGAGAATTGGAAACTTTAAAGCACATAATATTCGAAGGACAAGGATTTCGAGGCATGACTTAAAGGAGAAAATGAGGAGAATGTGGCTTGGACGAGAAAATACTGTGACAGGCCTCCCCCCCTCGAAGGGGAGCAGGAAACTGGAAACTACATAGTGATGAAAACTGGTCACCAAATTTTAAAGTCGGCTTACTTCCTGACGAAAATGCTTTTCTTGACAATCGACTAACAAAGTCAGCAGACAATTGAATCAGTAACGTTTAAAAAAAGGAGGGGGGGGGGGGTTGTGGACTGTTGATAAGGGTTAACATGTCGATTAACGAATCGTTAAAAGGCAAATGTCGAGTTTTAGACACATCTAGGGGGTTGTGATGTGCTTTCATAAATATAGTTGGTTCATTTTTGCCTACATTTTCATTCGAGGTTAAAATTTTGCCCACTGACAATTTTGATCCTGATAAAAGATAAATGCAAAAAACGATCGAAAAACGATGCAAATACGAACGCTTTGTAACGAATAGGTTAGTTTTCATATTTTTTCAGATCAAAGATATTTTACAGGATGAAAAAAAGTAAAATATAATTAAAGTTTTGAAATCTTGACAGGTTTTTTTTTAAACGATCCCAACGCGATCGATGAACAACACTATTGTAGGGGGACAGGTTCAGTTGTGGTTAGGGGGGGGGGGGGTGCTGATGGAGTAGAGGAAGAATGCTAGCCTATTGCTGGGCATACAGACAAATTATGATAAAGTGGAGATATTATAATATATATATATATATATATATATATATATATTACGTAATCAGTGTAAGCTGTAGAACACTCTATGTAGATATATTCTGCATTAAGTAAATTGTTATTCACAAATTTGTAGCGTTGGGCACCTACATAAATAAGATATTTATTTTGAAACCTGTCTGTTTTTGAACTACAGGTTTAACCACAAAGCATGAGACGGCAAAGACGACCTACAAATCTTTAAATATGAATATGACGATCCCAAAGCTAAATTTAGTCTTCTGTCCTGAATATCTTCTTTTTTGTTTTATTAATTTTTTTGTTTTTGAAATAAACAAGGACTGTTGCAAAGAGTCATGAATCTAAGGATATAGACAATATAAATTCTACATTGTCGTCTCTGAAGTCTCATCCTTTGTTGGTAACCCTGTTGCATAACAAATAGACCCAACAAGTGATAGGGTTTCCATCGAAAAGGAAAAAATCGTTTCGCGACCAATTCGCATAATTTTTGCACTTCGTTCGCTCGCGAAAAATGAGAAAAATTTCGCATTTCTCTCGAAATTTTGCTTCAATCTGTTTCGCAAAAAAACAGAATGTTAAAAAATAAATGAAAAATTTTAACGGAAAAGTTGCGAACATATATCAAAAAAGGCAACTTTTGAGAATACAGGGCTTATTTTCAAAGAGGGATTCATCCGCGTGTCTAACTGATGGATCAACACAAAATATAAATATAGATTTAAGAAGGACTAGGAGACATCAGACATTTCGCGAAATTTTCACATTTTACGAAAATATTTTCGCACTTTCGCGAAATTAAACTACATTTATTTTCGCGAAAAAGCTTGCAAACTGCGACCGAAAACTTCGCGAAACGTTTCGCTCGCTGGAAACCCTAGGCAAGACCAATAACTTTGTTAGTTTTTTCTAAAACTTTCGGACTTTTAGCAGGCACCCCAAAGTACTATTAAAACATTCGGAAAAAAAACTTACAAAAACAAATGTTTTTTTTAGCTAGTATCTTTTCTCAGGGTTTAATTTTGGTATGGCATAAGAAAGGCAACTGTTTGAAGAAAACCATTTAGAAAATTTGTACATTTTTCAGATTTTTGTAGAAACCCGTTTCAAAAAAAAAATTTAAAAATAAAACGTGATTTTCTGTTGTTTATTTTAAAAAATATCCGTTTGTTCACAATTACAAATCCTTGCCATCTTTAGTTCTGTTCTTGTAAGCTTGGTTCTCAAAAATGCACATTTTATTTAAGATACGGATTGGAATAGTAAAGTTACTCGGAAATAGTTGACAGTGCTACCATAAGGATATCGCTGTTCCCGTTGCACAGACATTTGTAGGTCGGATAAACACTTTTTGTAGATCGGATGCACAACTTTTGTAGGTCGGATGCACAACTTTTGTGTCTCGGATGCACTGCAGTTTTGTAGGCCGGACTCACAACTTTTATAGGTCGGATGGACACATTTTGTAGGTCGGATGTTAGGTTTGTTTAAGTCTGGGCCGAGAGCTGCGGCCATATTACCAAATTAACAATGTGATAGCCGAATTGTGGGGTTAGGCCTGCAGTTAACACAATTTCTGGGCCGAGCGCTGCTGCTATGACGAGGGAGGGAAGGCCAAGCAGCCATGAACCCCGTGGAAAAGTCTCCGAAACCCTGCAGAAACAGTCTCCGAACCCCTATTTCTTTAACTTGATTATTATATTTATTGAGTCCATATGTCGAGAAGATTGGAAAATTATTGCTAATTTACAAGTAATATTTATATTTGATAACGTTTTTTTCAAAAAACCTCCTCCACGGGGTTCGGAGACCATTCCACAGGGTTCGGAGATTTTCCACGGGGTTCATGGCTTCTTGGCCTTCCCTCCCTACTATGACAGGCTTTAGGGATGAACGCGGCGGCCACATTTTTCAAATTAACAAAAGTGACCCGATCTGTAGGGTTATGTAGACAATTTCTGGACCGAGCGCTGCGAATAAGACAGACCATGGGGCCGAACGCTGCGGCCACAGTTATCAAATTGATAAGTCATAGCCGATATGTGAGGTTAGGTTTGGTTAAGACAATTTCTGGGCCGAACACTGCGGCTGTTTAATAACTGTGCATCTTTCCATACATGTGTCATCTGACCTGTGCATCCGACCTACAAAAGTTGTGCATCCGACTTACAAAAGTTGTGAATCAGACTTACAAAAGTTGTGCATCCGACCTACAAGGTTGTACATCTGAACTACAAATTCAGTGCATCCAACCTACATTTAATAGTGCTATCTATAGGTATAACCAAAGTCACATTATGGGTATTGGTTACGTCCGCAAGAGCACTTTAGATAGATAGATACGACCTACGGTAGCACAACTAAGAAATTAGCCTTAAGGAATTCCTTTTCTTTTTAATTTATTTGTCAGTAATTTATTTTATAATCATTTTCTCCGGACATATGTACAGCATTTAACTGAAGTCCTGTATTCCTTCATCCGCTCTGGCCTGTATTCGATGTTTTTCTTTACACTTTTGCGAATTATCTAGGCTTAAGAAAATCCTTTTATTGGAAATAATTCTGTTTTCCCCCCTTGTAAACCCTTGAAATAAATAGTAATCTAACCAGGATGTGTTCAAGCTGTATTCCTGTTCCTACCCCCTGGTAAACCTATGAAATAAACTCTTATCTAACCAGGATGTATTGAACCAGTATTTCTTTTTCTACCCCCTGGTAAACCCCTGAAATAAATAGTAATCTAACCAGGATGTATTCAACCAGTATTTCTGTTTCTACCCCTGGTAAACCCCTGAAATAAACACTAATCTAACCAGGGTGTATTCATCCAGTACTTGTTTCTACCCACTGGTAAACCCTTCAAAAAGTCAGTAATCTAACCAGGGTGTACGACGATCTTCATGACACCTCTATATTCTCATGTTTGTTGGGACACCCTGAATGTAAAAACTTTAGTTTATTTTTAAAATATGAAACTTAAATTTTAAGGAAAATAACTATCCCCCGAATCTAAACCTATCCATTATTACGAGGAAGACCAAAATATTTAATGTAAACAAAAATAACTATTTAAAATTGTTTATTGAGAATGTGTTTCATATTTATCTATACTCGACTACACATTAAACTTTAAACCACCTTCACTCAGCTCCTGAAATAAACAAATATGTTACATGATGGAAACATTTTTAACATAGGCTTGAATTTAAAGGGACTGTTCACGTAGTATTAATTGACCCTATAGCATGTCCTATCAGATTCACAACAGTAACGTAAAGTCATTTATCTGTGTAACAATTTTTTATCATAAAAAAGTTTTTATCGCAAAAACGTTTTGAAATCTGACAGTCTCTACAGCAAAATCCTTTAAACAGGAATATCTCGTCCATCCTTCAGAAAAAGGTTTCGAGAGTACCTTTGCTTTGCTTTTTGGGAATAAAACATGTCTATCTCTAAATAGAGATTAACTTGAAATACCGCCAACAGTCCCTATCAAGTCCAATGCACAATAAAAACAATACAGTAAATGAAAAACTGAAAACAAAGATGAGCCCGTGTATGATAATTTTATTTTCTAAAAATGCAGAGTTTAAAGAGTCAAGACCCCAAAACATATCATAAACGAAGAATCTAAAAAAAATGACGCAAATGAAAAATGGTGGGTTTTAGCCTCGACAGAAATGGAGAAGCTTTGGCAATTCAATTTTGACAAAAAAATTCTACAAGTACTTTCTCATAAAAAAAATAAGGAGGTTATTCATTTATATACCACCAGATTAAGTGCCCGTCGTTGCCCGTGGAATTTTTTAAAAATCGAATTTCAAAGAAAAAAACCATTTCTGAAAAATGAAATTTGATTTTTTTAGTAGCCTAAGTAACCCCCAGGGTACTCAAGAGTGCCCTCAAAAGAGTCAGCCCATTCGGTCCAGCCGTTTAGGCCAGTTATAGCTAACACACATACAAACAAATATATTTATATATGAGGGAAGAGCTTTATTAAATAGATTTAATCATGGTACAGCACATCCTTTCTTAATAAAATGATGTTTCCTATTAAAATACATTTTTCTCACCTTTGTTTACCAGTGATACTTGGCATTGGTGTGGTGGGAGATACCGCTGTAGTTCAGACAGTAGAACAGAGCAGACCAGGCAACAGTCAACTAAATATTAACTTGTAAAACCTGTGACAAGGATCCATAAAGATATAAATTCAGATCTAAATATTTCTTTACGATTTACTGATTTTTATCTAAAGAAGAATAAATACTTGTTCTTCTTTTTTTCGCTAACATTGTTCACTGAACCATTTAAAGATAATAAAGTTAAAATAATCTACTTTTTTAAAAACAGATATAGGCCTGAACGCAACAGTTATCTTTACAGTTTCTGGACGATATTTTTCCCCATAGATCCAGATCTGTGGATCCGCATATTGCTGCGGCGGATCCGGATCCAGGAAGCAAAAATATTGGGGATCCGGATCCCTGTTCATAAAAAACTTTGAGCAATTAAAAAGAAAGTTTTTAACACATTTTCAAGTTATAAATACAATTATAGGTTTGAGCGCCCCGGTTATTTTTACAGTTTCTGGTCGATATTTTGCTCCTTGGATCCAGATCTAGGAAGCAAATATATTGGGGATCCGGATCCTAAGCCTGTTCATAAAAAAACTTTGAGCAATTAAAATTTCAAGTTTATAAATACAATTTCTTAGCTTGAAGAAACGTCAAGTGATTTGTGTACCATTAAACCGGGTGGAATTGTTAATACCGTTTGGTTAAATATGGGCTTTGGGATATTTTTAAGGATAAGGATAAAAGAAGATACAATGTTGCTGATCCAATGGATCCAGATCCTATAAGCTAACAGTACGGTGGTGGAAAACCGACTCTACCTGAAGAACAGGGGTGATACCGCTGTACTTGGGGAGAACGTACTTGTGGTTCCATCTCCAATAAGCCCTGAACACACAAGTCTTTTAAAAATACTGAAATTTGAGGATTTAAAATAAATTTCATGAAGTAACTCTTCGTACCGATTTTAAAGATTTTTAAATGTTCGTTAAATCAGACCTGATGTTGGTAATCCAACCCAGCGTTCAGAACGGAAATAATTTAGCTAACCAAATCTATTTTAACAACCTTTGACATAATCCTACCTGCTGACAGCTCTACCCATAGCAACAGGGGAAGGATTTCTCCTGGCCAACCAAGCTGGGAGCTGGTAGAGCTTAACCTATTCAGAGATAACATGTGAACAATATTTTATTGGATTTCAAAATAATTTTGTAAAACTTGAGATTGTAAGCGTTGTTTAAAATGACCCGCATTGTAAATATGACAATGGCTCACTCCTTAATACCTTTGTCTGAATAATATTGTGAAAGATGCTGTCATTTTTCTAGATTTAAAAGTGAATAAATCTGACGATTCCTGTATGTTTTCCAGCACTAGAAAGTTCATTTTGAAGAGAGTCCCGATTGAAAATAATCAGTTTTCGAAATTTTTATAACTAATTCATACATGATCGTTTTTAACCCTAGCCCGTGTGGCTATTTCTGTCTAACAGATGGGGGGGGGGGGGGGCTGTTTCCACCCCTATGATTTTGCCCTTAGAGTTGAAATACAGGGTGGCCAAAACTTTTTTGAAAAAATCCGTACATTTTCAGAAGAAATCCGTACAATTTTCGAAAAAAATTCGTACAATCCGTACAATTTTCGAAAAAAAATCCGTACAATCCGTACATTTTTTTAAAAAAAGTCCGTACATTTTTTGAAAAATCCGTACAATCCGTACAATTTTCGAAAAAAAAAATCCGTACAATCCGTACATTTTTTTGAAAAAAGTCCGTACATTTTTTGAAAAATCCGTACAATCCGTACAATTTTCGAAAAAAAAAATCCGTACAATCCGTACATTTTTTTGAAAAAAGTCCGTACATTTTTTGAAAAATCCGTACAATCCGTACAATCCGTACATTTTGGCCACCCTGTATTTGAATGCTTGGATGAGAACCCGGAAATAATGAAAAAATGAGATTAACTGAAGAAACTCAACTTAAACTCAATTTTAAAATCCATTTATCTTTGCAACCTGAAAACCTTTGGTTTTTTAAACGAAGCCTAATTAATCTGGAAGAATTCACAGCTTATAATAACAAAAGTCTACCACATAAGGTTGCAAAGATATTAAACTTAAACATTACTATTAAACACTAGAGAGCTGGAGAACTAGAGAACTTGAAAACTAGAGAACAAGAGAACAAGAGAACTTAGAACTAGAGAAATAGATAACTAGAGAACTAGAGAACTAGAGAGCTAAAGAGCTAGAGAGCTAGAGAGCTAGAGAACTAGATAACTAGAGAACTAGAGAACTAGAGAGTTAGAGAACTAGAGAACTAGAGAACTAGATAACTAAATAACTAGATAACTAGATGACTAGATAACTAGATGACTAGATGACTAGATGACTAGATAACTAGATAACTAGATAACTAGAGAACTAAAGAACTAGAGAACTAGAGAACCCGAGAACAAGAGAACAAGAGAACAAGAGAACCGAACCAGAGAACCAGAAAACTAGAAAACTAGAAAACTAGAGAACTAGAGAACTAGAGAACAAGATAACCAGAGAACTAGAAAACTAGAAAACTAGAAAACTAGAGAACTAGAGAACTAGATAATAGAGAACAAGAGAACTCGACAACTAGAGAACCAGGGAACCAGAGAACTAGAGAACCAGAGAACTAGAGAACCAGAGAACTAGAGAACCAGAGAACCAGAGAACCAGAGAACCAGAGAACTAGAGAACTAATGAACTAATGAACTAGATAATAGAGAACTAGAGAACTAGATAATAGAAAACTAGAGAACTAGAGAACCAGAGAACCAGAGAACCAGAGAGCCAGAGAACCAGAGAACCAGAGAACCAGAGAACCAGAGAACCAGAGAACTAGAGAACAAGAGAACCGGAGAACTCGAGAACTAAAGAGCTTTGATTCTAATTTTTAAAACTGTTTAGATCGGTGATTAGGCCATTTAATAACCAAAAAATTAAGTTATAATTAGAAAGAGTGGAGTGTAGATTTAGGATCTAATATAATTAAAAATAGCGTGGTACAGGGGTTGCACACTTATTAAAAGAAAGTTAATATTAAACTAAAAATGAAAAAATTTACAAATAAACGGAAGAAACCTGAGAGGATGTTCTCAGATCTGATAAAGAGACAAATAGATAGATAAACAGACAGACAGATAGATAGACAGAGAAACAGATAAGACGCATACACATATAGATAAACAGAGAGACAGATAGGATATATAAACAGATAGATATAAAGATAGATAAACTAACATGCAGATAGATATACAGATGGATCGACAGATAGCTAGACATATAGCTAGACAGATAGCTAGACAGATAGATAAACATATTCTCAAATGAACACTTCTGGGATCTCGAACTATGAATGAATTTTGATTGTCAATTGAAACATTCATCAATCTAATATCATTTAGAATGCAGAAAATAAGTTTATTTTGACAAGATTTTTTTTTGAAATTTTCATGAAAAATTTGCTGAAATGAGTGAAAATTAAAAAAACCCGGTGTATTTCCAGGATAAAAATCCGCACAATCCGTGCAATTTGAAAAAAATCCGTACAATCCGTACAATTTTAGGCTTACAAAATAAAAAATCCGTACAATCCGTACATTTTGGCCACCCTGGAAATAGGGGAGTGTGATACATGTCCAGTCCAACTTTTCAAGGCCAACAAATTAAAAAAAACACCAACCAGCCTTTTGACCCTATGCATTAAATTTTTTTTGGCAAAATTTGTTTACAACTTTGAGTTGAAAACTATCAGCCATTTTAAAGTTATTTAGAAAAAACCTCAGGTGGGGGTGGAAAACACCCCCCCTATCGTGATAGGGTTAAGGGTACCGTTGTGAATAAGGAATTGCCAAAATTGCATGAAGGGTGTCGCTTGAAATTACGCTTTTATGAGGGTAATTAACATTTCTCAATTCACTCTACTAGCTGTGTTAGCATTTCTTATCAAATGAGATTTTTTTATTCGACTTTTGAAAATTGCAAAATATATATTAAAAAAAATGAGGATTCGAGAAAAGCAATTAACATTTTAAACCTGGCTCAGAGGAGTATCCTTCTTTCCGTAAAAGATTGCGGGATCATAAGGTCCATGAACGGCCTAAAATAAAATATACTAACTGAACTTGGAAAAAGACCATCAAACAGGGGGTAAAACTGAAAATATTTCTAAACGGGAAAATTTTAAAATAGTTTGAACAAAAGCATTTAAAAAAAATTTCCAACCTTGTTATATTCCTTAGGAAGCTGTCCAAGTCCAAGCATTTTGTCTGAAATAATAATATCAAAATAATTTTATGTCACGATAATTAAATCAGCATTAAATGCGAAGCGTCCAAATGGCATCAGGTACGAGGGATTGGTTTGATTTAAAAGCTCCGGGTGGTCTGGAAGGTTGAAGAGGTTTAGGATGGATCCTGGTCAAGGTTCAAGATCTCCTCAACCCTGGATAGATAAGCACGAGAACTCGGAGAAGAGAGGAGAAGATTTTCGTCCAGGATTTCCATGTCCTCTTCAAAATCGTCGGACCAACGATCTACTCGATTGACAGACGAAGAAACCTCCCTATAAACATAATTTTTATTTAAAATATTCATCATTAAACAAAATGATTTAGCTTTATATTTTGACTTTGCCTGAGTTTTTATGTTAATTTGGCAGTGTTCAAAAATAAAAATTAACATTACGTGGAAATCTAGGGATGCAATAATAAATTGAAGACACTAAGGACCGTAATTAAGAATGAGACAAAAAACGGATGGCAAACAAAAACGAAATAAGACATTAAATAAATAAAAATGTTTCCTTGATGTTGAGGAAGTTGAACACGAGTCTGTCTCCTGGTTTAACAAGCTTGTATTGTCAAGTTTACGAACAGGAGAACGTAGTTTGGTCGGAGTTGTTGCGCTATGCTGAACCAGTTCAGGACGTTTTGGATGGACTAAACGCTCATCAGCTTCTCCTGAATCTAATTCTTCTGATGAAGATTTTGGTACCTCTGTTAAACCTCTTTTTCCGGATTCTGACCCGTCTGATGGAAATCTCTTCAGTTTGATTTCTGTTAAAAGGTCATTTCTTTCTCCAGACTCTTCAACCTGACTTCTAACCGTAGATTCTTTGCTACTTTTAGACTCTTCTACGTCAATAATATTTGTCGACTCGGGTTGAGTTTGGTTTCCAGGTTCATCTAGTTCTCTAGGCCTAGTTGAACTACAGAGTATCTCCTCTACACAGGATTGTTGTTTAGAAAGAGCGGGAGGATGGCTGGAACCTGAACATTAAAAGAAACTTTGATAAAAGTGAAATTTATAATTTCACACAGAACATTTAGGTCAGGTCTACTGAACGACGTATATACGTTTTCAAAATAATGTTTTTTTTCAGTTAAAAGGAACTGTTAGAGTAAATTCAAGCGATATTCCATGCATAGATAACGTAGTTTTTCTGACTCAGCAAGTGTTAATTTCAGTGAATTTCTCCATCGTTTCATTTAAGAAAGAGATGCGAAAGTCACTTTACAGAGAAACCACAAACCACAAAAGTCAGGTAAACAAAAACGATATCTTATTCATACTTGATCAGTCAAAGCTTTAAAGGGTATCGTTGTAAATTGGACATCGCCATCTTTGCAGGAAGGTTCACTTAAACTACGCTTACAGTAGCTTTAAGATGGAAACTACCAATTTGCTAAATTCATAAAAAAATCTCGTTATTCGCCAATTTTACTTAAAAATTAAACCAAGGAAAACCTTGAGCTAAGGATCAATTTAAGTATGATCCCTGAGTTATAACTGTTCTAAATATGTTCATAAAAAAGCGGGAAAAAACACAAATAGTTGATTTTAAGGTTCTTTTCACTAGATTTTAATAATCGTAGAAAGAACATAAAAATTTGTTATCAAAATTGTCATTATTTTAGAGAAGTTTTTATTTTGCACGAAAAAATTATTAGTTTAAATAACCTGTAGAATGTGTTTGCATCAAATAATTAGATTCTGATGTTTGAGATCTGAAATCCACAGAATCTCTATTCCCTTGTTTCAACAACTGTTTTATCTCCTGTATATCTGTCTCAAGGGAACAGTTTATAGATCGGCCAGGACTTATTTCACCTTAATAGGATATATTCGATGATACTTAACAGATACAATATAACTACCCCTTGACAGTTAAAATATACTATCTTGCAGGGGAATAAACAGGGTTACCCACAATGAACCAGACTTCAGAGACGACTATTCGGAATTAATACTGCCTGTTTCCTTACATTCATGATTTTCTGCAACAATAAACTTGTTTCGTACGGAAAACTCTTTTAATCTAGAAGTTGTACTTACGTACTTTTATAAATAAATCAAATTTAAAACCGGTCTGACATTAATTCTTGTTAAAGTTCAATTATAAAGAAGAAGTTAAAGTAGACTCTGTATGATTGCAAGTTTCATGTATTTACTTTTGTTCAGAAAATGGAAAGATTTTCACGAGTTATAAATAAACTAGCTTCGGAACCCAGCATCCACCGGAAACTAAACTTCCGGGTCTGTCCTACAGAACGCTTTTTGGATCCCCCCCTCATATCAATTTTGTACATGACAACTTATTTTTCAGCAAATTAATATAATTTAGGGTTAGGTTAAGACGACTTCTGGGCCGAGCGTTGCANGGGGGCCGGCCGGGAAATTGTTCTCTAGGAAAATACTAAACTTCCTCTGTTACAGTCAACTCACTCAGTTAAATTTTTTTACGCAAGCTAAGAACATTCCCGGTTTTTAAACCGAATTACCCCATCAAAATATGAGGCAAATCGGCCGAGGGGGTCGACTGTCAAGGGATATAATCGGACATCCAAACAAACAGAGATTACTAAATTATATATAATCTAAAACCTACCTAGGAACCATGGCAGACGTATCTTGTATCCCGAGATAAGAATGAGAATGAACGCTATCAGTAATAATAATGCTACTAGAACAGGCGCCTAAATTAAGGTTTACGGAAAATGATTGATGAATAAAGGGATAAATCAGATTAGGGGTCTGTTCTATAGTACGCTTCCTCGGGCCGAGTGCTGTGGCAAGGACAATAAAATTTATTATTAAAAAATGAACTAATAATAAATTTGTGCTTGAAAAACCTCACATATCAACTCGACCTGTGGCCGAATTTAAAGAATTTGAGCGGCGCATAATTTAAACCGGGTTTTGGCTCAAACTCTTTAAATTCAGCCACTGATAATTATTTTTCACAATTCTTAAAAATAATAAATCTTTGAACGTCAAAAGTTGAAATGGTGTAATCCTGCAGTACAGACTATATGGACCCCCCCTCCATGAAACAATAACCTGTTAAACCAAATTGTTATACAAGTTTTTGACAGAACTTACCGACAATAGAACAGGAACTCGGGAGTTCACTTCGTTCACCATTTCCGAGAATTCTTTCCCAAACCTGGTAAATATATTCCACCATTTTAATCTTAAAACACTGGATATAAATATATAAATTATATCCTTGTAATTCAGATATAAAGTGTAGAGAGGATGTGTGCTTTTAATCAAAATGAAAGACGTGTAGGTCGAAGAAGAATGGAGGTAATAATGAGGTTTGGTGAATATCAGCTGATAGATCGGCCATAATGGAAAAGAAAGCCCGTCAGCGTAATCAGGGATGACACTATTTTTCGGTAAACATTTTCATAAAAATAATTTTTAACCATATTGTTTTAAAAATGACGATAAAAGTAAGTTTCAGCAAAAAAATCAGAGTATATAATATACAGTAAAAACCAGAAAACTCGCGAACAGGAAGACGACTTTTAGACTCAAGGTAAAAATTGTAAATATAGTTATAATCTTGAACAGCAGAGCATTTCACTCAAAAAGTGAAATGTTAAGTTAATAATACAGCTATATGCTTTGTATTTGTAACGACATCAAAGACAGTAAATAATTGCTTTAATGTTGTTTTCACTTTCCACAGTTTTCTGGTTCTTATAGTTCTGAAAAGGGCATTCAAATAGGATAATATTGCTGAACATATTAAGCTTGGCAATCCAGATTTGTCCATGGAAACTAAGTTTTTTTTTTACAAAAGTTAACCTCCTTATCTTTAAACTGTTAAAAATTCCCGTGGCTCTCCCGAGTTCATTAATCAAATGTTGGGGCAACTAGCCAAGGGGTTCATTAGTTATTATTAGACAGACATACAAACAAACACAGACTACTTCTTTATATATATATATAGATATCAATTCCATAGGAAAAAATGCGTATAAGAAATGAATGTAAGATTGAACTAAGAAATGGGGGATAGGGTTGGTTTACATTACATGTGACGTATTAGGCCAGCCAGTTTTATTGTTAATTAACAAAGCTTGGTAAACAAAATTCGTATTTTGATATTTTAGAGCTCGAAGGAGAGCTGGACCCGGGAATGAAAATACTGCCAACTGAATATTGTTTTTATTTCAGTGTTTAAAAGTAAAGCTTTTTTATAGCAAGAGAAACGACGTTATCTGTCATATTAGTAATCAGATTAATGTTTCAAAGGTACTGTTGTGAATCGGGTATTCAACTCGAGTGATCAGAGTCACTTTCATCATTAGTCTTGTTTTATAGGAACATTGTACCGAAAAGTCTTGATAAAAATACGTTAACTTACACCCTGAGAGGTCTAAAGCAGAGGTTAAGAAGGAGGTCAGTGAATGCCATCAAGGGACTCACCTCATAGAACGGATCCACTAACAAAGCCTGCAAAACAATTATGGATTAACTAAAAAGGACTTATAAGACAAATGAACAGATTACACTTTTTTATAGTGTGACCCATAAGTTGATTCAAATTATTATTATATATAAATTTAGGCCGTAGGGACATGGTAATTTAAAATTTATTTTTACAACGTNGGGGGGAGGGGTTACAGCCCTCCCTAACTTCACTCAGGGGAGGGGGTAATGGACCGCTCTTGGTCCTATCTGTTATTTTAATTAATCTCACTATAACTTTTAGATTTGTTTGTAAATTGTTTCTCTGATATTTAAGTATGTACTCTTTAGGTTCAGATATTTTAAGAATTTAAGGTGGTTATAATATTTTTTCTTTAACAATAAAATATCCAAAGAAAAGTAAAAAAAATGAAATAGCATGAACTACAAACCTTGTGATATTCCTTGCACTTGTCTTCAGAAACAACGAAGGATTTAAAAAAGGATGTCCATGGCATAGAATTCGGACTGAAAAATAAATATTATTATTGACAATAACGAAAATAACAAAAATGATAACAATGCCGATGCCAACGCCAAAGCCATGATAATGATAATGATAATGATAATGATAATGATAATGATACCTGCACTCTGGTGGTATATTCCGATGCTGCATTAGTTTTGCTTGTTTAGCAGACAATGCTTCCTTGTGCATATGCTGCCAGTGCCAGCAGACACTTACAATCATCAGTACTAAATAGTATAGTACATTGCAGTACAGTACACTGCAAATATAACTGTAAAGTACACTACTAAATCAAATCGAATCAAATCGAATCAAATCGAATCAAACCAAACCAAACCAACCCATAATCAAATCAAATCAAATCAAATCAAATCAAATCAAATCAAATCAAATCAAATCAAATCAAATCAAATCAAATCAAATCAAATCAAATCATATCAAATCAAATCAAATCAAATCAAATCATGAAGTTAGAAATTAATTTTCAGCAAAATAGGAAAATCGTTTCGCGAAAATTTGGCATTTCGTTCGCTCGCAAAAATACGAACATTTTAGTTTTTATTCGGGAAATTTCGCTTCAATTTGTTCCGCAAAAAATTGAGAAATTCGAAAAGATAAATGCGAAAATTTCGCGAAAAAAATTGCGGAAATATTTTGCATTTTTTCGCGAAACGTTTCGTTCGCTGGAGACCCTAGGTTCAAGTCAATTAAAATCAAGCATAAACGAAACTTAAATATAAACAGAAATAAAAATGTTACCTAGGAAAATCTTCCAAATAGTAAAATATCTAAAGATGAATAGGATAGAAAATGCCAGGGAGAATGCAGTGCAAAGAATAAGAACAGGTTCTTTTATTTTCTCACTTAGATCTCTAAAATATTATTCAATCAAAGCTGGAAACTTTTAGTTTGGACGCTCAAAATACAGATCGCCTGTTTTCGATTTAAACTGCGGGAACTTAAAGTTTGAGAATCAATGCTATATCTCTACATTGAAGCTATCCATACAGAGTAAAATTACAATGCATATATCGAATTCAGAATTACTCAGCAAAATCACAAAAGATTTACAATATCTGACAATTCTGTTCTAAATCATATTTCCCTTTGTCACTCCATCGATCCCTACCAGGCTGTAGTGAATGTTGAAAAATATTGAAAAAATTAAAACTTTTAACAATATTTGATACAGTTTAGAAACAAAATATTTAACGTATTCATCAAGAAAAGAATGAATTAAAATTTAATCAAAGACGTTTTTAAAATGGGAAATATTTTGAATTTTTCTACATCATCAAATCAAACGAGTGATTTTAATCAGAGTATTTTCAATGTTAAAAAAATAAAATATCAAGAAAATCCCCACCATTCTCTCTAAAACATAAGGAAAAAAATAAATATTGAACCTACTTGAAACTCTGCCATTTATCCATGAGCGGATGTTTGACCGCTGCTGATCCTAGAATCATGTTGGAGAGAATAATATCCACGTCATAGGCGCTTCCACCAGACCCAGAGCTAACATCAACAAAACCAGTATTAAAGAGAACCTGAAAACCAGTATTAAAGAGAACCTGAAAACCAGTATTAAAGAGAACCTGTAAACCAGTATTAAAGAGAACCTGAAAACCAATCTCAGCTAATCTCCGAGCAACGATGACAATGCCCGATTCACAATGGTATCCTTGAAACAATTATCGTGACAGATATTGTCGTTTTTCTAAGTTTTTCTCAGATCGATATTATTTCCCTGCAGTAGAAATGCTGTCACTTTAGTAGTGAAACCACATTTCAATAAAAATTCGGTTTCAAAAGTATAAACATTGATATCCAATTCATACTTGATCAGACAAAACTTTTCAGGGTACTGTTGTGAATCGATCATAACCATTTTTGGATGGAGCCGGAGGAGACTTGAAAATACGCAAACAGTGCATTTAATAATTCAAATCTTACAGTTTTGAACGCTCTACTTTTCCGTTTTAAGCTAAATCTGATAAATAATGTTTTTTTTTTGCATTTAATGCTTCAAATTTCACGCACTTCTGACCCTTCAGTAAAAGTAAATTCAATCCAAAGTCTGACCGCGTCAACCTTGTTGCACCGGCTATTCCTATTGAGTGTCTGCTTTATTTACCCAATGTCCGGGCGAGACAGTAAAAACTGGGACCGGAAAGGTTGACCCGGCTCGGAAATTAAAATGTACTACGGCTGCCCGTGATTTATACGTTTACATGATTGTTTATACCAATATCTCATTTTGAACAAGGGGGTGTTTGAGAGAATTTTTTTCTAGCAGGCTCTTTTTTGCCCCTTGACTGGAAACTAGATTAAAAGTAAGAAGTAAAATAAAATCTTGTTACAGGTTTCACTTGCACCGCAAGTAAGATACCAGGCACGATATGAGACCATTGGAGTTAAAAACGAGTTTTATCATTTGCATAGGATGCATAGATACATAGATGCATAGACTTATGTAAGAATTATATACAAGTTTATATAAGGCTGCATAGGATGCATAGATGCATAGACTTATATAAAAAAATATATACATATATTTCTTATATTTAGTCTATGCATCTATGCATCCTATGCATACTATGTTATAAATAAATACATAATGTTTATAAGTCTATGCATCTATGCATCCTATGCATCCTATGCAGCCGTATATAAACTTGTATATATTTCTTATATAAGTCTATGCATCCTATGCATCCTATGCAGCCGTATATAAACTTGTATATATTTCTTATATAAGTCTATGCATCCTATGCATCCTATGTTATAAATAAATACATAATGTTTCATGGTATATATAAATATATGACGTTAACGATATATAAAATGTATATAAACTATGCATCTATGCATCCTATGCATTTAAAAAAGGGTATTATTATTCCTATGGTCTCATATTAGACCACTAATGGCAAGTAAAGCTGAATAGTCCGTACTTTCCTTTATTTTCAATATTGTTATCCGGTTTCCAGGGGTTTAACAAATATGTAAAAACTTGCTAAATCTTATTCTCAACAAGTTGGCTTAAATATTGCAATATTTTGACTCTAGCAGAAGATGTTAGATATTAACGGTTTAATATTAACGATCAACTGTTCGTTAAGGATTAGCGGTTAATATCGCTTATACCCCCATCTTTTACGAGATCATTTTCAGACAGTAAATAAACTCTACAAAAATGCAAAAACTATTAAAATATTGGTTTTGTTCCTAAAAGTTCTAAGAGTAGCAATCTGAGTAGTGGATAGTTTAATCTCAGCATGTATATGAGCACCAGACACTCCATCAAACACTGTAATAAAATAATTTATTCTACAAAGTTCACTGTAAAAAACAAATATTTTTGACAAACTGCACTGTAATAAAATAATGTATATATATTAAGTATAATCAAATAAGATATGCTACAAGTAACGCTGCATTAAACTAATATATTAGACAAATTGCACTGTTAAAAAAAGTAAATTCTACAAAATGCATTGTAATAAGATAATATATATACTACAAGTTGCACTGTAATAAAAAATATAATCTACAAAATGAACTGTTATAAAATAATGTAGTCTACAAAATGCACACTGCACAGTAATAAAATAATAAATAAAATAAAAAATTGAAAGTATTTTAACAATAAAAAATATAATTTTCTTTTAATAATTTACCTAAATGCTTCAGCAGAGTTGACACATGGCGCTGAAGAAATATATCTCTGAAATATTTAATCATTAATTTTTTTTTTGGTAAATGTAAAAATTAACAAAATTCAAAGTAAATCAACTAAAATTAGTCTTTCAGGGACGTCAAACTAAATTTTTTCTTATTCTTATAGTTTTGCAGCCTGAAGATGTAATTGTAGACCATTAATATTTTAAGCTATGAATTCTGCAAAGTCTAAGAGTCATAGTTAAAAATACTAAGAGTATACACTAATAAAGATATAGAGATGAGGAAAGTGTTTGAAGATATGATAAGTTTAATAAAAATATATACTGCCATGTTTTTTTTTTTTTACTTTTAAGAAGCAGCAAATATATAAAGAAACATAAATAAAAAGGTTGAATGTTTAATGATACCTTTTTGGACAATAATTGTAATTTTCTTTGTCATTAGAAAGATCCATCTTTGTACTTGGTTTAATAAGCTTTGTACTCTGAGTACTGGACCCAGTACATGTACTTGGAGTACTAGACCCAGTAGATGTACTTGGAGTACTGGACCCAGTAGATGTACTTGGAGTAACAGAGAGATGGGATTTTTCCTCAATAAGAGATCTAAATAAAGAGAATAATTAAACGTAATTAAGAAAAATCATAGCTGGAAACTTCTGTGATGGATACTCATAATACCGATCTCTAGATCTTGATATTTACTGAGGGCATTTTCAATTTGAGAATCTCCAATGATCAACGCTCCATTCAATCCCTAACTGGGTACGATTACCATGTGGGATATTGAATAAAGCTTAAATTATTCTGCAGATTAACAAAAGATCGAGTTCAAGCATTGATCTGGATCCCAGATCTGATTATATAAACGCAAGGACGATTAAAGTTTTGTCAGATAAATAGAACTCATTTAGCAATTTTAAACGGAAATGTATTTGGTCGCCTATATTTTGGTACCCCTGTGCCCCCCTAGACATACACCCCCCTAGAGCCAGAGACAGGCTCTTATTTAAACCTACATATATATTCAGATTTTTTACTTTTTTTATCAATCGACAATGTCACAATTTGTCCAATTTATAATTATTTCTCAAATTCTTTCTTGTACCTAAATCTTATCTACAATATTTTTTCGCGGGGTTTCATTTAAACTATTTAGACTATTAGCCAGCCTTCAGGTAGATTAATATAGATTTTAAACTTTATTTTTTTCTTAACACCGGTTTTTTAGGGNACTACGCGCCTGAATACAAGAGTTCCCAGCTTATATATAATATTTTTACCTAAGCGTGTTCCTACAGTTCTCCAGATCCAACAATGTTTCAACTTAAAACAGTTCAAGTTAAATTTACACTTTATTATAAATATCCAGGTAGGATACAGGGTGTTCAAACAAACTTAGGAATCAAGATTGTCAGCGTACCAAAAAATTGTAAGAAATAAAATATTTTTTTGACAATTTTTTATAAATTGAAATCAGGGCTAATTAATAAGCTACATAAAACATTGGTAGACCACAATTTGGAAATCCCAATACTAAAAGTTTTTGTTGGTAATGATTTGAACTTTTTTGTATTTATGAAAAAATGCCGGTTCAAACCCGTCACTAAATTTTATTTTTTTCTTGGACACCTTGTATATTTAAATACCTAGTTGTGCTTGCTGACCAGAAAGATAGGATTGGGATTGCTTGAGATTGGGTTTCCTTTTTTCAAATCCCATATCTATTGGATCCACCCAGTTTCCACTAAAACAGGTTTAATGGGATAAATGCATGAACTTTTATAATTATTATGACAGGCGTGTATCATGTATATTTTATCAAAAAAATTATTGGAATTTTTTTTTCCCCAGAGTATTTATTAATAAATGCAAAATATGAATTAAGAAAAAGTATCAAAAAGAATGAAAAAAACTTGTCTTTTAAATGATGTCCAATTTTTTACTTACCCAGTCCGCCCCCCCCCCCCCCCAGGAAATATACATTTCTGTATTATCAAACGCAATTGTGCGGAGAAACAACGTAAATCTCAAGAGCGCTTCGCACCCATCTTCTTTTTCAATTGTGAAAATTTTCTCTGTGTATACATTGTAAAACAAAAACAAAAAAAGTTCTATTAAAAAATTTCGTGGATTTTAAAACTATAATAAAAAATCGGATTTTGTTAGAGGCTAGTTTTGGAAATTTTGATCATCGATTCACCTTCCTCGGGGGCATGTAAAGTCACACACAAAATTTGGGCCCGATCGTTTCAGCCGTTACGACGTTTATTGGATACGAACAGACAGACAAAAAAACTAATAGAACAGCAAAGTATATATATGTATATTCATTGTCATCAAAGTCTTGTCCCGAATGGGTGACCCTAGAGGATGATGATAAAAAATCTAACCGTTCATCCGGAGAGTCAAGTAAATCGTCAAAATTGTGTCCATCATCATCCATCCCAGTGACATGAGCAGCTTGGATGACCAGCACAACTAGCCCAGCTAGTTTTCCCATGAGGCGGGTCATTATTTTAATGGCGGTCTCGTTCAAGAGCTTAAAACATAAAGAGATTTCTGAAAATGTAAAAATTTTAATAAAAATAGATTGTTGAACTTTTAAAAAATGTTTTCGAAATGTTAATGTTGACTAACAGGAAGTGAACTTCAGCTTCTACATTTCCACGTGGTCAACTCATAATTTCTTTTTCCGGTTTGCCGCACGTATGCCGTGTTTCTAGGATTTTTGCTTGCGTGAATACCACGTTGTGTACTTCCTAACAGATTCAAACCTTAAGAACTTAAGCCTTAAAAGGACTTAAAACATCATTTCAACTTATTTAGACGTATTGAAATAAATTCGACAGTTATCTTTAAACCTTTATTTGAAGTTATATTCGTTTTCCTTTCTTGTTCGGTCAATTTTCTTCCTTTTTACTTCTGTATTGACAGAGAAACTGAGAAACGTGAAATTATCCGTTAAAAACCACAAACCACAAGGTTTAAAGCGTACTTTCTTGAATCTATCATAGATGGCTTTTAACAAGTTCAACCGTCTCTTTAATATTTTAGAATAATTTAACTATAAGATAAATACTAAAAGTTTGAATTCCTGTATGCAGCTTCCAGCATACTGTTTATATGCTGAGTAATTAGTCCTCCCCCCGCACTATACCGTCTCTCTACTTCCTTCTCAAACGGTCTAACCTAACATTTTCATATTGAAAAATTTATGTTTAAATCATCTTAAGCTCTTTAGCTTATTTGTTGGATTAGAATTGTAATTAAGGGACTGTAAGCTAAATTTAAAGATGACAATGGAACTAATAATGTCGAAGATATTGCCGTTTTTCTTGGTTTCAAATTCTTTAACTCTGATAGATCTTTGCATGGAGGGTCACATGAAATTACGTTTACAGTCCCTTTAAGTTATCAAAATTTTGAACAAAATCTGATCAAAGTTATGCAGGGTAGAAGTTAGAGTTGAGAAGAAAGTAAAGTATTATTATGAATACCTTCATTGACTGAAACTTCTGCAGGGTATCATACATCTTCTTTGCCTGAAGTAAATCAAGCTAGTTTTGAGGTAGTTATCAAGCAAGGTTAAGGTTAAGATGCAGTTTTGTATAACGGAAAATAAGGCGTAATTTGGTTCTTTCAGACCCATAAAACTGTGTTTAATGGTCCGATGAACATTTATTCATTTACTTTTTAAGTGTCCTTAAGCATAAGCATAAGCATAAGCATAAGCATAAGCATAAGCATAAGCATAAGCATAAGCATAAGCATAAGCATAAGCAGAAGCATAAGCAACTGTGCAGTGTTCATACTCTGTGTATGATAAACAGACACATTTTACTTCAAAAGTTTATTTTCAAGCTGCTTATAGAACTACTTTGCTTTATAACAACATCTAATACATAGAAGATTGCTTAAATGTCGTTTTCCTGTTCCACAGTTTTTATGGGTCCCACGTCCCTACAATCTATGATTACTGTCTTCAAACAAAAACTGTGTTACCATTATTTTGTGGTAGAGTTTAGAGGAAAATTAATAACATTTTAGGCTAAAAAGTATCAAAAACTTGCCTTTTGACGCCCAACTTTACATTTCCCCTCGCCCCCTTCACAACTTCAAAAATCATTAACCTCCCCCCCCTNCCCCCCCCCCCCCCCTCCTTGTAATCAGTAAAAAAATAAAATACAAGAACCTTTGGGTAGCACTAAAAAGTATTAAAAAGGGAAGAAAAAATGTCTCTTTTTTGTTGAATTCTGCTTTGAAGTTTGAGGTCAATTGCAACTCTTAAGCTGTGAAATCGGCTTGTATTATAATAAACTTTAAAAAATGCATGGCATAATTTTTAAATATTTTTAAATATTTATAAATAAAGATAGTTTCTATTTACCTTCTCTTGTAATTCAGGAGTAGTAGGTGGGAAGGAGGACCAAAAATGTCTAATTAGCTCACAAAGAGAAGAGTACAATTGTCGTAGATCTGCCTAAAAAGAGTTTAAAAAGTTGAGAAATTATAGCTAAGATTTCAATCAGATAAAAAGATATTATATCTGTCCATATCTAATATACTTCATGTATATGTGTATTGTGAAATGTGTACAGATAGTTTATCTGTCCTACTGGTATCTATATATATTCTTTGCTTGTAAGTTGTCTGTCTGTTTATTTGTCTGTCTGTTTGTGTCCAATAAACGTCAAAACAGCTGAACCGATTGGACAAAAACTTTGTGCGGGACCACACATGACCCCAGGGAAGGTGTATGGATGCTCTAATTTACAAAAATTTGTGTCCCAATTTTTTTGAATTTTACTAAATCTAAAAAAGCGCCAAAAATGTTATTAAAGCAAACCTTTTTGTTATTGTTTTATGTTGTACAGAGTAAAGATGCTCACAGAAAGAGCCAATATTAATAGTTGAAATAGAGGATGGGCGCGATGCGCCCGAAAAGCCTAATATAAGAAAATAAGTATTCCAAACATGATTTGAAGTTTTATTGTATGTATATATATATACCTGTACAGATACAGAACACTGCTCTGCTAGTTTATCAGTCCTACTATTATATATTATATATATACCTGTACAGATACAGGACAATGCTCTGCTAGTTTATCCGTCCTACTATTATATATTATATATATACCTGTACAGATACAGGACACTGCTCTGCTAGTTTATCTGTCCTACCCGTCATCATACTTCCTCCAGGACAAAGTTCTCCTAAAACAAAGAAATCAGTACTTTAGATTTGTCTCTGTATTGAAGATTAAAAACAAATACAAATTCAATAGATTTCGACATGGCATGGTGGTTGAATTATTATTTTTTAGAAGTACATTTATTGCTTATAGATATAATAACATGATAAATAACGAGTGTATAAAAGGAGAGGAAGTTGAGTAGGTCTTCTCCGGTTCCAAGATCCGACACGGCTCAGCTACATTTTGCCTAGTCACAATTTGCCTAGTCACATTTTGCCTAGTCACATTTTGCCTAGTCACATTTTGCCTAGTTCACTTTTGCCTAGGTAACATTTTGCCTAGGTAACTTTTTGCCTAGTTCAAGTTTGCCTAGTAACATTTTGCCTAGGGTAACATTTTGCCTAGGTAACGCAAAAGCATGTTTTTTGCCTAGTCAATAATCTTTTATAAAAAACAAATTTTACATAATCATGGAGTATACATAGGAATTAATACAGGTGATCTTTATTTATCATTATTTATCTTCTGCTGGTCATATGCACGGGTTTGGATATAATCAGCTTTCGGCATGGTAGGGAAAGCTTCTACAACAAATTTCACCCTCTGTCTGGAGTCCTTTGATCTCTGCCTTCCTTGAACATTGGCATACTTCTCAATCACAGCCTTTTCTGTGGTCTTAGCTTTCGTCTTCAGCTGCTTGTTGGTATGGCCATGAGTTGGGAGTACATCCCCTACCAGGATTCCAGTAGATATCCTCGTTGTTTGGGTTGCAGTGCATGATCTCTGGGAACAGCGCCAATTCTTGTTCTCTGCCCTCTCCCCATTGAAAACATAATAGAAGTTATTCTTATCTCTGTAGTTTGGCTTACCCCGCCTTGTAAGCCCTGCAGTTATCATGGGAGCCATTTTCAATCTGGAATTTCAAATTGGAATGTTTGAGGCAAGAACGCATTATATTCACTATATTGTTAACAGGTGAGCCCGGTGTCCTGCATGAAGCTGACTATACCTCTAAAGTTTAAGCCATTTTAACACAATGTTAAAACATTAGAAATTTTTAGTCGACATATTTTTAATACGCATTTAGTTGTTTTCATTTAGTTGAATGTTGTTTTCCTTTCAAATTATCTAATAATTAATATTTATTTCAGACATAGATAATTTTGAATGTGTTTTTACAATCAAAATACATAAAAAATATCGGAAAATGTGATAACATTACTTTTTATGTTTGACATTGTGTTGAAATGTTTAAAACTTTCGGGGGAGTCTCCCCATGCAAGAGTCCGCTCCATGCATGTCACCGGTAATTAAAAAAACCTCACTTTTATCATTATCTTAAATAATAAGATTAATAGTATATCATATTTGTGAGGTTCCATGATGAGCAAATACCCAAGAAATTGTATTTTTAAAATTTTGTGTGAAATACCGACATTATCAAGTTGGAACAATTAACATCATGAAGGGTTGTAAATCAGTTTTTATATTTTACTAATGCTCTTGTCCTGACTATTGCTGTTTTTTTTCTAATCTTACAATGGAAAAATGTTAAAGTTTACGTTTACGTAAAAATTTGTTCTTTATTTGTTAATAATGCATGTGGTGTGATTGTTTCCTTAGTTATTTTTGTTTGTTTACTAATTTATAATGCATTTGCTTGTTTTTTTTTTTTAAGTTTTATGCTATATTTAGATTTAGTATGTTGAATGTGCCCTGAGCTTTTTAGATGGAGAGACTCAGGGAGTTTAATAACAATGCCTAAGATAAGGCTTAAACCATTGTCCATAATTTTTTAGGTAAGGTCAGATTTGAACGTCGCCTCCTCTAAAGGGAGGGGCCGTACCCCTTCCACTCTTCTGTCAGGACAAAGCTAGGTCAAAATTTGAATGGAAATTTCTAAATTAAGGTTTATCAACACTTCTAAAAATTAAAAGGTAAGTTTGCATGTATTAATATAAAAAGGTAAGTGAGGATGTTGTTATAAAGTATAAAAAGGTAAGTTTGCATGTATTAATATAAAAAGGTAAGTGAG